CAGAAAACCAATCTATGACATCTTACCTTTACAGACGTACCAAAAGTTTCTTCTTAAATCTAATAGCTTTGAGGCTATAAGTTATTTACTTTTGTGTGTTTTTGTCAGGCAGAAATTTATTTATACCCCCTTAGGGTGTAAGAGGTTAAGTAAGGTAATGTAACAGATGGGATACATTTCATGGATATATTACAATTGTAAAAATGTGGAGGGAGGGGGGCTTAAAGTTTAATTAAAAGAAAAAAAAAAAAAAAAAAACGAAATAAAACATACTGAGCAATGATACTGCAGGGCAATGCTGTTCAGGGTGTCCCCCTCCTGGATGGTTTTGCTGAGGTAAATGATGTCGTCCAGTCGCTCCTTGGAGGTGCTGTTCCGCATCCTCTCTTTACCGCGTGACCGGAGCTCAAAGCTCTCTCCGTCCTCCTCTGACAGGTCGTTCTCTGAGCTGTTGGTTCCAAACAGGTAGGCATGGCCACCGTTTGCAGGCTGCACCATGGTGGCTGACTGGAACCCATAGTGTTGATTTCTACTGGACATTTTCTTCAACCGTCAAAAAAAAAAAAGAAAGAAAAAAAAATAGTATTAGCATTGACTCTAGAAAAGTGTTTCATAAAAAATAAAAAAAAGACAAGAAAAGAGTAATTTCTAACAGATCTAGAGATCAGCTACTAGCGTTAATGATCAGCCAACAGTGAAGCTGAAAGATGCACAACACTGGCTAGTTTTGCATATCTGATGACAAAGAAGGCCCATAGTTTAAACCTGCTAAGCTCTAAACCTAGTCCCAACCAGACTAAGTTCACTGGATCAGTTGCCATAGGAACCAAATCAGACTCGGCACTCACCAGCTTTATGGAGCCCAAATTATAACTAAATGAGCCAAACTAAGCCAGTTTTATTAAACACTAATCTCACATTAACAACTCTACTCTGCACGTGGGAATTATTACTAAGAAAGAAAACGTACAGTTAGTCATCTTAGCATCAGCAACGGGTTTAAGATTAGGTTTTGAAGAACAAAGAAAGGACAAGCTAGTTAAAAGCTAGTTTTAATTCAGAATACTAGAGTGGGTAAAAGCATAAGACTTCAGGCATAGGTAAAGAAAGCTGAACAAAATACTGAAAATCAGCTAATCTTTAGACTTTAAGGTTTAAGGCTGTTCTCAGCAGAGCCAACTCTCATATTTTGTCTGAAGCAGACAGGTACACAACTTTTTAAATTCAGTTTGGATTAAGGTGAGTTTATATTTGGAGAGGCTAAGGTTGCCCTGCGGTACTGCTTAGGTCATTCTGTCTTGGGCTGCTAAACACTTTCTTACTGCTACTTTCTCCATTTGGGCATGATCTGTAGTTATAGCTACCATTAGCTTTAATTTATGTCTGCTTTTATTCCTCTTTCAATTAGTTATTGCTGCCCTGGTGGTCTCTAAGGTCATTAGCTGTGATTAGCTTCCTAAATGGAACCACTGGTTGAGTTATTGCTGCAAAAACATCTTGTTCTCTCTTAAAACATAACATTTGACTTCATCTTTCTGTGGTCAATTCCCTTCTATTTGCTAGACAAAGAAATTTCTGCCACTGAATACTTTTTCATTCCTCTGGTTACAACTCAGAGCTTACCTGCTTGAGAGAGATATCTTGTCTTTCTTTTCTGTACAGGCAGCTGTATTTCTCTCCTAAATCTACCCCCTGAAACAGCTGCCACAAACTCTTTTACATAGAAACACAGTAAGTACTCCTAAACAAGCATGTCTATGTTTTTTTGGCAGAACGTTCTGACTTCTCAAAACTATAGTTAGTGAAGGAAAAGAGCTGAGCCACTTCTTTCATTTGCAACATGATTGAGATATAAGAAAACTCTATTTCTAAATTGCAGATGCACTCAACTTTGGTCAACGTTGCAGCTTTAGGTGGCGATGATATGCTTAAAGTAGGTTTGAAACCACACAGAAGGGAAGAAAAAAAAATGCAGCTTACATGCCAATTCATTCATGCAACTAGAATTTAGCACTTGTTCCACACAGAGGTTAAGGCCAGAACACACCGGTTGCATACAACTTTTTAATCTCCGCTCGATTTTTTTCCCCATGTCACACTGACTGTGACTAGGCAGGGTGGGCAGATCTGCACAGATTTTTTTCCACTTCTGTCTCTCTGCCACACAAATTAAAACAATTTTCCTCATTTGACATATTGACTGGGGCAGTAGGAGGTGATTCTTAGAGATCTTTGAAGTTTTTCTTTCTTATTTTTCCAAAAAGAGTTGAGAGAAAGACACCACACTTACCTGCTCTGTCTGCCCTCATTATTTTGTTTTTTATGAGGCTCAAAGAGGTTTACTATTTTACTATATCAGTTTTTCCTCCTCCTGAAGTATTTTTCTTTTCAATGAGATTGACAAACTGCATTCTCTGTCCCTTGTTGTATTTGCGTATCACTACTTTATCAGTTTTATGTCCTGTGAATTCCTAGCATGGGTACAGTGTCATTTTTTTAATCTTTCATTCAAGTAAAGCGGATGTGTATTCGGTGTGTTCTGGCCGTTACAGTAGTTTTGCATCAATGGAGTCTTTACAAGCAAGCTATCAAAGAAATCAAAAACGGAAACCCTCTACTAAAACATTGACATGATTGTGATTAGTGCAAAGGAAAACTGAAATAAAATTGCATGGATTTCAATAAGCAGTTTTATGAAGATTTCAGTTAACATAACTAGGGCTGGGTATCTTCGCCAAAGTCCTGAATCATTTTATGAATCAATAATGTTTATTTATCTTTAGAGATACATAGCACCTAGTTACACTTAAGCTGTAAAGTTATCAAGAAACAAAAAAGTTATTTTGCCTGTAACAATTACATAACTTCTCTATAAAAACAGAGATAGCACTAAGGTCGCTCTGAAACATAAAATCTTATACTAAGGTTGGCAAAACTTATAAGATCAGGAATCTGTCCCTTTAGACATACAGTACCTGCTATAAACAAAGCACATAGGTGCCAAAGTAGGTATACACAAAACTAAAAAATGTCCAAGCAAAAGAAAAACTAAGCTAACACTAAGTGAGGAATACTCAACGAACGCGAGAGGATATAAACCAAACTTATCTTGATAACCGACCGTTTATGGGTGTCAGTGTTATCGGTTTTATCTCCCTAAATTCAGTTCAGGGTAACAGGTTAGCAGACATCACTGTGAAAACAGCAACTCACCCCATAAAATATACATCAAAGATGACTCGGGTTAGCGGTTGGTTTAAATGTTTTGCCAAAAAAGTAATCAAAATTATCTCTTTTTAATTTCGCTATTTAGAAAACTCGGGTCAATTGTGGCTAAAGTATGCTAATGCTACACAGCGTTCATATTAGGGATACTTAGCTGACGTTAGCTTATCAACAGCTATCGGAATTATATTTCCACACACTCATATTTTACCTGATATATTAGAAACCAGCTTGGTTAATAGTCGACAGTAATCCCCATAACTCCGCAGGATTCTTTTCGGTTTCACCTTATCCCTGGTTGTCGTTTTACCTGCTTGCTAGACTGTGCTGACTGACTGCTGTGCGCTCAGGCCACGTCAACAAATATTTACGTAATGACGCAAATGACGCAGGCACGTCGTTTCATCCCAACCGTTCCGGATTTTTACGGTGGGGCGGCACTAAAAGTGGTTTGACCCCGAAACTGGACAGTATTTGTCTGAAAATAATCTTATTCTTTAAATGTTAAGTTACACATTTTTGCTGCCATTGTTAAATAAACGTTAAGGAATCTTATACAGTTATATAATTGCAATGAAAGGGGTGTGACAAGGATTAAAAAAAAGCCCCAGAGCTAAGTTTAGTTAGTACATTTAGCTTAGTTTTAAACTCCTCTAGATGAAGGCTGATGTTAGGTTTAAATAGGTATATGTGTTGGACACATATCACTGTTTTACAACAGTATATAAGCTTTTTTTGTGAAGGCAGAAATTGAGCTTTTATTGTGAAGGCAGAATGTGAGCTTTTATTGTGAAGCTCTGAGGAGGGAAGAGAAAAGATCCACGTTTCCCCTTGTACTGGGCAGTTGGGAAGTTTTGGAGATTAAAGCTAGTCTCAGCAATACTTAATACTCTTTCTTACATTGATTTCCACATTTAGATATTTTCTGGAACTGTGGCTTACTTTTTCTACTAATCAACATGAAACATATCAACATATACATGAAAACATAATATAATATAATACATAAACCAGCATATACATACACACACACACACACACACACACACACATATATATATATATATATATATATATATATA